GGGTTCACACACACACACACACACACACACACACACAAACACACACACGCACACACATGCACTCATGGAGCACACCCAACACACTCCCATTGACTCACACAGCTCCACACATGTGCCTCCTCATATAAGCAACCCTTGTCCACCTGCTCTCCCATGCTGCCAAAATGTGGGTATATACCTGCAAAACCAGGTGCCTAAATCACACCAGCAGGACACACTGCCATACATTGCCCTTGGAGCTATTCGAAAATAACCATTACAAACTAGTTGTTATTTACCTCTCCCTACAGGCAAGACCTTCCACTATGTATGTGGGAGTTCATGTCATTACCAATGTCATTCACACCAATGTGTGTGTGTGTGTGTGTGTGTATGTGCACACGTGTCTGTGTGCATACGTGTGCAACTGGAGATTGAACCCAGGGGTGCTCTACCACTGAACTACATCCCCAACCCTTTTTATTTTTTATTCTGAGACAGGGTCTCACTGAGTTGCCCACACTGACCTTGAACTTGCCATTCTTCTGCTTTACCTCCTGAGTCACTGGGGTTACAGGAATGTGCTGCTATGCTGGGCTTTACACCAACTCTTAGGAGTAGATCCCTGATATCTCTACCCGACAGGCCGGGGCCTTTGCTCTAGGAGCTTAGGTGACTATCCAGAGTCACTCCACCAGGAAGTGCAAGTCAGGGCAGGCTGAATTCTAAACCTGCATCCAGCTGTACTGCCACCCCAAGCCACACCTGCACAAAGGGTGTTTGCCCACCTCTCCTGGCTGGACCTAATCTAGTTATTAGTTTTAGAATCCAGACACCCCTCACCAAACCCCAGATACTTAGATTAAGGGTCCGTCACTGGGCTGGGCCTCTCAAAGACTCAACATCTCTTTCTTCATTGGGTACAATGGGCAAATTTTGCTACCTTTCTGTCTTTATATATTAAAGATTATAATCTGTCCATTTTTCTGGCCTTACCTACCCACTCCAGCCACTCAGGCCTTGGTTTAGAAGTTCTTATGGTTTATAGCTCCCTTCTGCCCCAGGGCCTTTATACATACTGTACCTCCTGGGAGAAGAAGCACATTTACCTAAGGAATACTTATTCATCCCGGAAATCTCCACCCAAGTATCATCTTAGCAAAGCCTTCCGACTCCCCTGGCCCTTGCTGTAGCCTGCCAGAGACTCCTCCCTCATGGCCTCCATTACAGTAGTAATTTTTGTGGAATGCTTTGATTAATGATTGTCCAGTGTTCAGGGACGGCTCAGTGTTGGAGATTCTTACAGTAAAGGGGTTTAGGGCTTATCCATTTCCACACTTCCCAAATTTCAGTATCTATGGAAAAACTTATGAATCCACTTATCTGACCAAATATTATAAAAGTTGCATGCGATGGCACACACCTGTAATCCCAGTGGCTTGGGAGGCTGAGGCAGGAGGATCATGAGTTCAAAGCCAGCCTCAGCAACCTAGCAAGGCCATAGCAACTCAGTGAGATTCAAATTAAATACAAAAAAGGGCTGGGCATGTGGCTCAGTGGTCAAGTGGTCCCTTGCCCCTGAATTCAATGTCTGGTACAAAAAATGTTTATATATAATAAAAAGTAACTGTAAAAATCTGTGCAGTGAGGGCAGATCTGTGTTAGTCAGTTCTGGCTGGATGAGGCTGACTGTGGACCCTTCCTCGCCTGAGCCTGGTTTCATCTGCTAAGGGGAGTAATGATGAGTGTCTGAGAGGTATACCAGACACCTGACGAGGCTCTCTCCTGGTGCCGACAGGAGGCCTGGAGAGGAGTGGAGTAGGTTTCTTGCTGTGATTTCACATCAAGTCTGAGTCCTCCCAAGATGGTCTTGTGGGCCACCTGCAATTCCATCCCACACTTTGAGAAAAGCTGCTCAAATCCGGTTCCATTCACTCCACATTGCCAAGGAACCTGCGACGTGGTGGTCCCCACCCAGCCCCTATTTGGACGAGGCCCTTGTGGCCTCAAGGTCCCCAGGGAGTGCAGGCCTGTTCACTAAGGGTCCTGAGCTGTCTGGTGGATGGTGGGAGGCCACTCTTCCTGGAACCACGTGTGTCCTGGAAGGCTCAAGAGAAGTAACGCAGACCACTGGGCTCTGGAGCATAGATAGGAGCTTGCCCAGTTCAGGGAGGGGTGCAGGGTGAGCAGAGGCAGGGCCGCATCCAGGCAGCCCTTCCTTAGTTGGGGTCCCCACCTTGGATTCTAGCAGGGAGATTTTAGGTGGCACTGAGGTGACCATTTTTTATTTTACAGCTTTTCATCTTAATGAGCGTTAGGGGGTTTTTAAATAGCAGAAACACATGACAATCAATAAAAATAAATTCGAGTTGCAAACGAAGAGACAAAAAGAAAAATACTAAGCAAATCATCATAAATCTCTATCAAGCAAATAATAAATTAGGATATGCAAGAAAACCTCTTGTGTGCGGCCCATCCATGACTGGAAAGCCCTGGCTAGAGCATGCAGTGTGTCTAGAAGAAGTAGGACAGGAATGCTGGGAGCTGACTGGTGACTCCAAGCACCAGCCCAAACTGGATCTCTATGTGAGAAAGGCCACTATGGCGGGCAGAGGGGAACCTGGACTGGTTCTCAGTTTTATACCCCAGCTCTGCCATTTATTAGCAGGAAAGTTGTGGCCACAGTTTTTCAACCTGTGAAATGGGAACAAAATACCCGGCCCATAGAATTATTAGGATGATAAAATACAGTCATCATGGGAATTGCTTGGCACGGGCCTGGCTCCAGAGACTCATTTCTGTAAGAAGCAGCTCCCACTGCAATTATTGTTATGTGGCTTGGGTGGGAGATGGTGCACCCCAGGGCAGAGGCAAAGGGGAGAGGGAGAGAAAGGAACGGATACAAGAGTAAGGCTCAAGGCAGGTGCGGTGGCACACACCTGTAATCCTGGTGGCTCAGGAGGCTGAGGCAGGAGGATCGAGAGTTCAAAGCCAGCCTCAGCAACTCAGTGAGACCCTGTCTCTAAATAAAATACAAAATAGGGCTGGGGATGTGGCTCAGTGGAGCTGGACTTGAACGTGGGTCTTCTGGGACTCGCTCTCTTCTTGGTTTACTATGTCTGGGCTGTTTATTCAGTTTTGAAAGTCTTTTGTTGTTGTTGTTTTTTTTTAAAAAAGAGCCAATTCTCTCTCATATCTCCGCCCCCACACACAAATAAAAAAAGGGCTTAGTGCAGGGAAGTGAGCGAGAACTTGAGAAGTGAGCAGAAATGCTGGATTCAGCACCTCAGCCTGGGCCAGCTCACGAGGAGTGTCCCCAGTAGTTGAGTCCAGAGGTCACAACCCGATACCTGCTGGGCTGCACCTGGCTCACAGATGGGTTTGGAGAGGTTTGACCAAAAGATCCATAATCCAGGCACAGGGGCCACGCCATGAGTGGCTGATGCCGAGGAAATGGGTGTTGCCCCAGGCCCCATGGCTCCCTATGGCTTCCCTGATGGGGACGGTGACCGTCAGGGGCCCCTCTCCAAGGGCTGGAGGGGTTACTTTCTCGACTTAGACCACTTCTGTCTTCCATATCACCTGGTGGTCCCCTGAAGACCTATGAGTCTGTGGCTACTGGTTCAGGTCTCCCTGGACCCGAGGCAGAAAGACACATCATGGGAAGTTTTCTCAGCAGCTAAGGTCAACTGGTCCCATTGAGAAACCACCTCCTGGTTCCAAACCTACCTGAACCCCATTGCGCTTTGAATTCTAGCATGTTCCTACCAGAAGAAGGGTCCTTGGAGACCGACATGCTCGGTGCTTCCCTTTTATGGGGGGGGGGACCGAGGTCCAGTTCACTGGCCAGTTGGGGGCAGAACCTCCCCTTCCCCAGGCATCTCTGCCAGGTGGAAGGCAGCCCTGGGGCTCCTCCCACCCACCTCGGCTCTTCTCCTATGAGGGGATGCGAAATCCTTCGCCTGTTGGACTAAACGGATAAACTGGACCTTTAAGAAGAGTTCAGCCCACGGCTCTGAAGGCCCGGCTAACAACATCTGGAGAGACCATTTAAAGAAGGAGGGAGGCAGCCTTCCAAACGCAGGCAGTCACACCCTCCCATCATAGAAGCGATAGGAGCTGATTATAGAACATTGGAAAACGCAGCGCACTGGGAAGAAAATGCAAATACTGCCCCCACCTGCCCTCCCCCCTCCCCCGCCCTCGGGGTAACTACAGGGAACACTTTCCTGAATGCCGCTTGGACTCTTCCTAGGCACACACACACTCTGAAGATCACACTGTATGGAATTTTTTTCTTTAAAAAAAACCTACACGGGTCAGCAGTACGTGGGGAGGGGGTTTGGCCATGAAGGAGCCTCTTTGTGGGGTGGCGGAAATCTGTTGCATATGAATCTGGATAATGGTTACAGAAGTCTGTCTCTAGGTCCAAATGTATCGTCCTGTACATTTTTTTTTATTTATTTGATTCATTTGATAAAAAAATAATACAACAGTAATAGAGGCTCATTACAAAGACATGAAAATAGACATCTAGGAACACAGCTGCTCCCCTGCGTCTGTAGCAGGTAGTTTTCTAGGTGTCCCCGCACAGACAAGGTGCCCACGTCCGTAGGAACAATGGCCCCAAGTCAGGGCACCTGTCAGCGTCTGCTGGGGCACAGGTGGGCTCCTTCTCTGGCCTGGAGTGCCGAGGGGGCGGGCAGGCGGGCGGCGGCAGCTTTGCCTTGGCTCCTTGTTCAGCTTCTCTCCTGCCGGGAACAGTGAAGGGTCCTGCCAGGCTGCCTCTCTGGGAACTGATGGAAACAAGTCTATTGAGTTTCATGGAAATCATTTCGAGGGCTCCACGTCTCGCCGACGTGTCTGGGTTCCTGTGGCCCCGGGCTGGGCTGATTGGGATGGCGAGTGGCCAAGGCTCCCCTTTCCCTGTGCGCTTCCCTGACAGCCCTGAGCCCCTGGGGTTCAGCCTGGAGCAGGTAGCGTGCTGGCCAAGAACACCGAGTCCTGGGAACTTGGATCGGGCTCCGCTTTGCTGGCTGCCCCTTAAATGGTTACAGTGTGTGGTGAGCGGAGCCAATTTGTCAAAGCCAGGGGCACCTCAGTCTGCCAGGCTCGCTCTTCCAGAAGTAAACAGTTTCATGAGGCACGATGGAGACAGGGAAGGACAGGGTGCTGGGCAGGCCACCCTTGGGGCTGGTGCCTCCAGGCAGAACAAACAGCTGGAGGCCCAGACACTGCCTGCGTCTGTCCATCTGTCCAGGATGGCGCTGCTCCCTGTGTGCGTCAGCCAGAGAAGGTGAGTTGAGGGCCTGGCACAGGGGGTGCCTGGAGCCTGCTGTTGTCCCTGGGGTGACAGTAGTGGACTCGGGAAGGCACAGGAAAGGAACTTGGACCTCAGCTTCGCCTGGCAGGCTGAATCAGCATCAGTTACAATGAAAACATGAACTGCAGCAGCCCCCGCTCCTTCCCAGAGAGCAGTTCCCATCAGGGCAGGGTGGGAGGCAGGGTCCTGATCACACATGGGGAAACCGAGGCTCCAAGAGGGAGGAGAGTTTGGCCCGCAGTTTCCTGGTGGTTGAAGCACTGCAGTCAGCTGCAGAGACGACCTCACCTCACGTAGGTCTCTGGCCAGAACTTAACAACCAGGAACCACGTGGTCAGACAAGCCCTTCCGAGTTCTCTGATCTTCTGCAGACTTAGGAAGCCTTCCCCTGGTGATCAGATGTCTGTACCGCCTGCCTCCCTAATGCGCTGCAGTCTGGCTTTGGGAGAAAGGAAGAGGACTGGCCGAGCCTTTGGGAAGTGTCCAAAACAAGACAAACAGGCAGCCCAGCTCAATCTGCATGGGAGGAAAGAGGCCCAGAGAGGGTAGGGACCTACTCAAGGCTGCGCAGCGAGGTAGAAGCCAAGAGAGCCAAGGTCCCAGCCTAAAGGATTGAGTGTGTGTGTTCACAGAGGGTAGATGCCGCCCTTGACTTCCCCTCCTTCCTCCTGCAGTCCTCAGGGTTGTGTGGGGTGACAGATGTCAGGGTTTAACCTTGCTGAGTGAGGGTTGGGAGAGTGGGAAGAAGGTACCTGCTGTCCTGCCACCCTGAAGATCCCTCTCTGCAGCTCGCTGTGCAAGTAGCTCCTGCTGGGCACGTGCCCTTTGTCACTAAGTCCCTGACAGCCAGGCATCCCTGAGAGCCCTCGCCATGACAGTACCAGGTCCACCTTCCTTCAGAATGGCTGCGACATTCTTCCGTCCCCCCTTCTTCAAAGTCCCTCTTTTATTTCCTTGTACTCGGGGTCTTTGTTTATAGAAAGGGCCCCTCTCCTGAATAAGCTCTATGCTGGGTTTTTCTTTCCATATCCCTCTGCACCTCAGCAATCGATGGACCAGAGTTTGTGGTCAGTCAGGGGCAACCAGCATGGCTTCCATTACACTATCTAAGAGTAGAAAATCGAAGCCCGCGGACCCGCTTGCTGTAGATGGTTGACAGTCTCTGGCCTGTTTTACAAATGGAAAAAAAAATGTGGTTCAGGGAAGACTATTTTCCTGCTTCCAAATTTGCTAAGCACCTATTTTGTGCCAGGCCCTGGGTCAGGTGTGGAGGACCCAGGGGTGAATCGGCGCTAGCCTGCGCTGTGCTGGCTTTCTATTGCTGCTGTCACCAACGGTCACACCTGCAGGAGTTTAGAGCAGCACGACTTTATTCGCCCGCAGTCCTGCAGACCCCAAGTCTGACATGGGTCTTGCTGGCCTAAAACCACCGTGTGGGCAGGGCTGCATTCTTTCCTAAAGGCTCTAGGGGAGAATTCCTTTGCTTGCTCTTTGCAGAGAGCTGCCCACATTCCCTGGCTCTTCCTGCCTGTTCAACGCCAGCAACTTGGCATCTCTCTGACCTTTTTGCTTCCACAGTCGCATTCCCTCTGTCTTCTGGACTATCCCCTCCCCCTCCTTTTTTTTTTTTTTTTTTTTTTTGGTACTGGGTATTGAACCTAGGGGCGCTTTTTACCACTTGGACCTTTTTATTTTTCATTCAAATCCGTCTCATTTAGTTGCCGACACTGGCCTTGAACTTGCAATCCTCCTGCCTCAGCCTCCAGAGTCACTGGGCTTAGAGGCATGCACCACCCCACCTGGCTCCTCTCCCCCTTTTGCAAACCCTTCTCAGTGTCCTGGGCCCACTTGAGACTCCAAGAGAATCTCTTCGTTTTCTGGCCGTATGATTGGCAACCTTCATTCCATCTGCAACCTTAATCCCCTTTGGCCTGTTAAGTGACCCAGTCACAGATCCCAGGGGATAGGAGGTGGGCATCTTTGAGGGCTACTCTGCCGACTCTTAGGGATCCAGAAATCACAGTGGGAACTGCTATGAGAGGGACACAGAGGAGGGGACACCTGACCCTTCTGGGGTGGAGGCCGGTACCAGGTCAGAGACAAGGGCTGACCTGAGTCTTGGAGAATAAGGAGCTGGCCAGGAGAAGGGGCAATGGAAGAGGAAGGTGCTCGGGAGGAAGGAACAGCAAGGGCAAAGGCCTGAGGGGACAAGAGAGTACCCGTGCCATCGTGGTGAGGCATGGAGAGGAGGCTGGGCCTGCACGGTGCAGGGTCCGGGAGCTGGACACGGGGCTGCACGCGTCCTGAAGGCAAGGAGGAGCCCTTGAGGAACGCTGAGCAGGGGGCGGACACGTGGGAAATGACACTCTGGGTCCCTGGCGGAGGTCGCTGCAGGGAGGAGGGCCTCAGGCCAGCATCCAAAGTGAGGTGATTCCTGGGAAGAGGTGATGGAGACCCAGCTCGGTCAAGGGCAGGGGACAGGCTGGTGGCAGGAGAGGGCAGCTCAACACGCGGGCTCTGGTCTCCTAGTCTGACAGGATGTTGGGACGTCCCTGGGCAGGGAGGGGGTGGAGGAGGAGCAGGTTTGGGAAGCTGTCCCTGAGTGGGGTGTGAGCCAGGGGGAGGGGACAGGAGTGGCCGGCAGCATTAGCAGGGGCCTGAGTCACGGAGACCTGGGAGGTCACAGGAAGTGCCCACTGCCCTTGTCGTGGTTGCTACCATTACTTTTTCATCCTCTCCTTCTGTCCCCCCAGGACCCTCCGTCCCTAGATGCCGCCATCCAGCATGCCTTGGCTGGCCTCTATCCCCCTTTTGAGGCCACAGCACCTACGGTCCTGGGTCAGGTGTTCCGGCTCCTGGACTCTGACTTCCGGGGAGACGGGTTGAGCTTCCTCTTGAATTTCCTGATCCCTGCCAAGCGCCTGTGTGAGCAAGTTCGCGAAGAAGCCTGTGTAAGTAAGTTCGCGAAGAAGCCTGTGTAAGTGGGGAGGGCGGTGGCGCCAGGGACAGTCTGTCCCAGAGGGCCAGGGGCTGGAGGGGAGCAGAAGCAGGTGGGCAGGGGGGTGTGTTGACTCATAGAAGAACCGAGGACATGGATGGTTTTCCACATATCATTGCTTGTCAGCTCCCAAGTGGAGCAGGAGGGCACTTGGCCCTTATCCTCTGACATCTGGGAGTCTGTTACAGTGCACTTCCACCAGCAGGAGGAACCGCTGCAGAGAGGCATCTGGGGATCCTGGTCCTTAGGAGCCTGCCTGGGGCCTGGCATCCTGGCCATCACCAGGCTGCCTTGGCCAAAGTGGGGCACTTCCATGGAGATTACAGAGAATGCCGCATAGGTTTCCTGGAGTCCCTGAATTATTAGAATGTGCACTTTCAACTGTGGGAACCCCTCAAACATAGATCCCAGGAGGGCCTCTTCCATGAAAAAACAGAAAAATAAATTAGGCAAAACTTATGGGCTACAAATGACAGAGTCCCCTCTCAGACCAGACCTGAGCTACCCTTGCAGACCCCTCAGTCTCCGCTTCTCTGCTTTCCAGCATCTTCTGATACGCTGGGTCTCTCAAAGGTTGCAGCTCAAGGAAATGAACTAACTCTTCTTCAGCAGCTGCAGATAGGAAAAAAAAAATCTCAAGGAAGGATCCTGATTGGCCAGATTTGGGTCACATGTCCATTCCTGAACCAATCACTGTGGCCAAAGGAATGGGGGCATCAAGATTGATGAAGCTTGAGTCATACGCCCACCTCCTTGGTCAGGGGATGAGACTGTTTTTAAAAAAGGATGGGGAGTTCCTTGAGGTCCCTAAGAAGATCAAGCCCTCTGATACCTACAGAGGTATCAGAGGTTTGCTAATCGCTTCCTGTTATTTAATACCTGCTGCCTGAGACCCCAGGGTCAAGAATCACAAAGGTTCTTGACCACCATCCCCCACCCCTGGCCAGTCTTGCTCACTGTCTGTCAGGGACATAGCTCATGAGGAGCAAAGCATAAAGGTGGGGACTGTGTGTGTCGTTTAGGAACCAGGATGGAGATGGTTGGAACCAAATGGAGAGAGAGATCATCCCTCTCAGCTGTGCCACACAGCACCTGGCAAATGGGAACCCTCAGTGCACAGGAACTGGCCTTATAGGAGGGAGGTGTCTCTGGAGACATCAGGAGGCTTCCACATGTCCGTCCGTGCTGACATTAGTTCATGGCGGTCCTCCCCCATCCTTCTCCCTGATAAGCTTCGCAACCGTCACTTCCTGTATTTGGCCATTAAAACCATATCTGCACTGTGTCAAGGTCACAGCCTGTCCACATCTTTACTTTTTAATTGTAGGCAAATTTAATTTGACCACAATTACAGGCAAATTCATGTCCCCGAAGAGCAGTCGAAAGTGATGTGGGATCCACAGGAGGTCTCTGGGTTCAGGTGCCCAAGTTCAAGTCCCAGCTCTATCACGGTGAACCTGGAAGAGCTGAACCTCAACTTCCTTGTGAGTAAATGAGAACAATAATGCAGAGCAGCCGCACCATGCATCACTGGGAGAGTCCAATGGGACCAGCAGAGCTGACACCTCGGTGGTGCTTTGCCTTTTGCAAAACACAGCTGGGCTCTTCTGTCTTGTTTAATGAGAAGGCGAGGGCAGCGTGCTGTCAAACACGGTCAGCAAACACGGTCAGCTCTCACCATTGCCCCAATTAATAGTTCCAGGAAACTCTGGGTCTTTTGCACCCATGTCCAAATTGTGCAAAATTGTCTGGGATTTACTTCATCCTCGGGATTCAGAATCTTTTCCAAAAGTCAGGTGGAGAAAGACCTGTTGTCCATCCAGGGGACATTGTTACTGTTGTCCCCGCTGAGCATCTCTGTGGAACACTGGTCGGCACAGACGGGTAGAGAGGGGGGCTTGGCTGGGAGGGGACCGTCCAGGTCAGGTCTGCTCCAGGCCTTATCTGCCTATTCAAAGAATTTCTGGCACCTTCTCCTCTTTAAAAAAAAAAAAATTATAAATGGTTTGCCTCACCTAGCCATGTCCTTACTCGATAATGGGAAATTAAATAATAAATAATAAACAAACAAATAATGAGCATTCGACCCCAGAATGACTTTTGGGTCAGAATGAAAATGTGGAATGTCTTCTTCAAGGTCATCTGGTAAATAAGTGGCGCGGTCAGATCTCCTGTCTTCTCATTCAGTACTGTCCTGCTGCTGTTCTACTTAAAAACTGAAGGATGACATAAAACAGCAAATGACTTTTTATTCTGATTGAAAATTGCCACACTTTTTTAAAAGGATAAGTGTTCTCGAAAGGACAGGGAAGGAGCCATGTGCAGTGGCTCGAGAGGCTGAGTCAGGAGGTTCATGAGTTCGAAGCCAGCCTCAGCAACTTAGCAAGGCGCTAAGCAACTCAGTGAGACCCTGACTCTAAATAAAATTAAAAAAAAATAATAGGGCTGGGGATGGGGCTCAGTGGTAGAAGGCTTGCCTAGCACATGTGAGGCACTGAGTTCCATCCTCAGCACTGCATTCAGAAGTAAGTAAATAAAATAAGGCATGCTGTCCATCTACAACTACAAAAAAAAATTTAAAAACAGGAAATTAATACTTAGGGAACATGTGCATACTATATATTAAGTATTGTGCTGGCTTTGTTTTTAATGTTTTTATAAGTGCACTGTAGTGATATATAATATTGGGGTTCCTTTTGACAGCATCATACATGCATGGAATATAATCTGCACCATTTTCGTCCCTAGGACCTCCTCTTCTCTCCCCTCTCCCTCCCTCTGTTTCCCTTCCTCTGCTCCAGTGGTCTTCCTTCCTTCTTTGTTTTGTACATTGATGCCTTTTAGATACATGCAAATGTGGAATTCACCGTGGTATGTTTATAGAGCATAATTTGGTCAATTTCATTTCATAGTTTCCCCCCTTTTCCTGTCCCTCCTCTCTCCCCCTCAATCCCTTTCCTCCCTCTCAATCCCCTTCCTCTACTCTATGGATCTCCCTTTTATTTTTAGAAAAACAATATCCCAACCACCTACCCACCCACCCACCGGCGCTTTTCTTTCTTTCTTTCTCTCTTTTTGGCTCTAGCTTCTGCGTATGAGAGAAAACATTTGATCCTTGATTTTCGGAGCCTGACTTATTTCATTTAGCATGATGTTCTCCAGTTCCACCCACGGGCCAGCAAAAGTGTACTGACTTTCATAAATCATAAATATATATATTTCACAATTTTTAAAATTATTCCTCTTTGCGGATGGGAAATCCAGGCTCAGATAAGTTAAATAGTTTGCACAAATTAGTGATTCATACCTTCACACCCACGTCTCTCTGACTTTACAGCCCAGTCCCAGGGCTTGAGCTGGAGGGGGAGCAGCATTGTGTAGACGGGGAGGAAAGGGTACGAGAGTCAGGTAAGAAGATTTCACGGAAAAAAACACTTTGCAAATCGCGCCTGGCTCTCAGGTTTGTTCCTTGGTGCGGTGGTCTAGAAAGTGTTTTCAAGGTCAGGGTCAAGTGAGGCCGAGTCAACCCTTGCCCAGCCCTGAGAGCCAGGGCCCCTTCCGTGCGGCACCTGGGCACCTCTCTTCCCGTCTCTGTCCCCAAGCTGTTCCGGATTCATCTGGAGAGGGCAGGAAGCGGATCCAGGGCTGAGGATTCTGGGGTCCTGATTCTGTGACGTCCTCCCCCACAGGCCCCCTACTCCCACTGCCTCTTCCTGCACGAGGGCTGGCCGCTCTGCCGACGGGACGAGGTCGTGGTCCACTTGGCACCGCTCAATCCCCTCTTGCTGCGCCAGGGTGACTTCTACCTCCAAGTGGAGCCCCAGGAGGAGCAGTCGGTCTGCATGATGATCAAACGCCTCTCCCTGGACCTCCGCACGGTGGACAAGAGGCCCGTCCCCGAGTCATCCTACCCTATGATTTTCACCCAAGAGTGGCTGGAGGCCATCAACAGTGACTTTGAGGGAAGTCCCTTACACCACTGCCTGGTGGCTTCCGAGAATGGGATTTCCCCTGTGCCTTGGACTAAGATCGCCAGCCCAGAGTTTGTGGATGACAGACCCCCAGCTGCGAGCGTCCCCTCCCCAGCCTGGGGCTCCCTGCAGTTAGAGGCACTGGATCTGAGCACCCGCCAAGAGCTGCACCAGGCCAGCTCCCCAGGCAGCCAGATGCTTCTTGTCCCGAGTTTGGCCAAGAGCAGGGGCAGGACGTCTGGGGACAAATATCCAGGCCTCATCAAGGTGGAGCAAGCCAGGCCTGGGGAGGTGGCCCTCAGGATGGACAACATGGACAGCCAGGGCTTGGCAGGAGACTACGTGGCTCTTCTGGACCCTTCCCAGGAAAGCAGAGGAGGGTCTCCCACTAAGGAGCTGGGGACACCTAGTGGCTGTACTTTGGGGGCACTGGAGGAACTATCTAGAACTAAGGAAATTCCTCTGTCCCAAGGACTACTGCTCCTCTCTGAGTCCAGTCGGGGCCCTTCCTTGGGAAAATGGGCTTGTGTGAAGCCAGCCAGCCCCGAGGGGGAACCCTGTGTTTTGGGCTCCAGGAGGAAGATCAAGAGCAAATCGCCTGCCCACGACTCAGACCCACAGCCCCAGGGACCCTGCCTCAATGTCCTCAGGGAGCCACTAGACTGTGACTCTGGCTTCAGGGCAGGCGTCTCGGAACAGATGGCTGCCCCCAAGGTACAGGGACCTCTGGGAAACCCAGAAACCACGGTCCAGCCCAGCCCCGGACCAAGGCAAACGTCCTCTCCCTACTTGTCCCCAACTGCCCCCGCTACCCCAGCCTCTGACACAAAGATGGACAAGACCAAGCGAGAAAGCGGGAGACGTCCCCAGCCCATGACGCGCTCCAGCCGAAACGCCTCCTCCTCCAGGTCTCCCATTCCCGGACTCAAAGTCTCCTTCTTGAAGGGGCAGAGGCAATCCCCGGTGCCCACGGAGAAAGCCTCGCTCCAGCAGGATGGGCCTTGGAGAGCCCTGTGCTCACTCTACCCTCCTAAACCCACCCGAGCCAAATCCCCGGGGAAAGGTAAGGTGCCCCCGAGCTCCACTGGACAAGGAGCTATCATCTGGGTCCTCTGAGACCGGGGTACAGGGTGGTTCTGGTTGTGAGGGGCAGGGACCACTGGGCTGGCTCTGCTTCAGAGGTTTAGTGTACAGTGTAGCGTGTTAGGGCTGGAAGGCTCATGGGCCTGGGATTCACTTGCCCAAGTTCACATCCTAACTTTGCCATGCACTGGCTCTGTGACCTCGGCTAGGTATCTAACCTCTCTGAGTTCAGGTCTCCCTCTCCGTGGGACGGGGATCTCACCTACTTGATAGAGATGCTTTCCTGGTCCAAAGAGACACTAGAAATAAGGCTCTTACTCAGGGCCTGGCATGTAGTAGGTCAATACATGTAAGCTCTATTGTCCATTCCAGGATAGAAGACAAAAACATTCTCGCCTCAGAAAAATCCACCTTCTGCTTCACATCCTTTACTTTGTTATTGCTTTTCCCCAGATGGAACAACTCACACCAAAACATCTGGCCCTCCCGCTGACTCAGACCCACAGACTGGGGGAGAGGCTGGCTTCTCGGAACCTTCTGAAGGCCACCCAGGAAGAGGCCCCAGCCTGCAGGAAGAGTCCCCCGGGCCCGTGCCCAGGACTGGAGCCCTGGGTGTCGAGGTTTTCCACTCCAGGATAGCATGCCTGCCAGGTCCCGGGGGGCTAGCGGGGAAGCGGAGGGAGACGGGAGGGAGCTGGAAGTCCCAGAGTGTCCTCAGACACCGGTGGGTGGAGAGGAGGTCGGGAAAGCCCAGGAGGCCAGTGTTCTAGCCCCAGCCTCCCTGGGCCTGCTTCCTCACCTTTCCAGGGAAGGATTTGGGTTAGATGAAAGCAATTCCTAGGTATCTATCCTCTAGCCATCTACTCACCTGCCCATCCATTCGAATCTCAGTGAGGCAGCTAAGATAGAGCTGGGTTCCCTAGAAGTGCAGCCCAAGACAAAGATGAGCAAGCTGTGGTCTGACCCCCACAGGGAGCTCTGGAGCCTGAATGATAATCATTAACTGCAGGCTGAATCTGAATCTGTCGTCATTAACTGCAGGTTGATCCTGGATCTGTCATCATGAACTGTAGGCTGATCCTGAATCTGTAGTCATTAACTGCAGGCTGATCCTAGATCAGTAGTCATTAACTGCAGGCTGATCCTGGATCTGTCGTCATTAACTGCAGGCTGATCCTGGATCTGTCATCATTAACTGTAGGCTGATCCTGAATCTGTAGTCATTAACTGTAGGCTGATCCTGAACTGTAGTCATTAACTGCAGGCTGATCCTGGATCTGTTGTCATTAACTGCAGGCTGATCCTGGATCTGTCATCATTAACTGCAGGCTGATCCTGGATCTGTCATCATTAACTGTAGGCTGATCCTGGATCTTTCAGTCATTAACTGCAGGCTGATCCTGGATCTGTAGTCATTAACTGCAGGCTGATCTTGGATCTGTCAGTCATTAACTGCAGGCTGATCCTGGGTATAGATGCAGGGTAAGCCAGTGATCTAGTTCAGCCAAGGGCAATTCTTAAGAAGGAGGAACCTATAAGCCATTAATTGCCAATACTTCCAGGCTCTGGGGGATCAGTGCTTTGCCTACCGAAGGGTTTTGGGTGAGGCATTAACAATATCCAATACTGAAAGTATTATCATTTCTGTTTAATATTTGTGCAGTAAATATTAACTGAGTCTCTGGGCATAGCACTGGGGATTTATTAGGGAACAAGTTTGATGTGCTCTCTGTCCTCAGGAAGCTTACATTCTAGTGGTAGAGAAAATTCAACAGCTTATTAAAACCTGACGTAAGAGAATTAGAACCATGAGGAGTCCAGCCCCTGTGGAGCACAGATGGGGCCCTGGCTCAGGCTTCTGCTGGGACAAGTTAAGTGACATAAAATGCAATTGTACAGTGTGAGTGGGCAGTGAGCAGGTGAAGTGTTGGAACAGCGTCCCAAACAGAGGAAACAGCATGTGCCAAGGTCTGGGGACGCCGGAGACCTCAGTGCTTTTGGGGAACTGACTCTCCTGCAATTCTGTTTTCCTTCAGAGATTTCTACATCTCTGCAGGGCCCTGGGCACCACCTGTGGGTTCACAGCTCCTGGAGGGCTGTCCTTCTGGTCACTTTGATTGGAACTTCTGTCGCTTGTTCCCATGTGAACTGCCCACAGGGATCCCACCATTCTCGGGGGCTGCCTTGTTCCAAGGGCTCGGCTTTGGTTCGTGGAGGGTTAGGGTTAGGGTTAGGAGAACTTGGTTTCAGTTCCACTCTGTGGTCAGCCCCTTGGGTAACCTTGGGGAAGTAGCTTGCCTTCCCTGGGCCTCAGAAAGAACCTGGCTCCTTGTCACTTTTGCTACATTACCTGTGTGGTGACTCTTGGGTCCCAAGTGCCTGGCACACAGTAAGTGCTCAGAAGGGACACGATGATGAGTGACCAGCACCATGCGGATGCTCCCTCTGCTCCCGCCTTTGACTGCCCTTGGCCTCCTCTTCTCCAGGGATCCTGTCCTTGTCCCCCAGTGACAACTCCCATGGCCATCCCCATCACTAGCTGCTCCCTCCCTGTTTCAATATTGAGATTCCGACTCTACTGTCTCACCCACGGCCTCAATCTTAATTATCTTTGGATCCTCCTGCTCCCCGAACTACAACCTATCCTCCCAGCCGCCTTCTCACTGTGTCCCCCCAGTGGCCAACATGTCCTCTGTTGCTCCTTCCCGGCTCAGACGCCCTGCTCGTCCTTATAACCGCTTCCTCTCGATGGCTCCCGACTCCCTTGCCTTTCTCTGTCCCCTTCACTCTTACCTGGAGAAGCCCCGGAAACTCTCCCCCTGCTACCTTCCCCCCACACACACTGGACAAAGCTGGGAAATTCACACCACCTGGTGGGTCACATGGACCCTCCTCCACCCTGGGTCCTGAGTGACCTTTCACCGTCCTGAGCCCGTGACTTCTCTCCTCTGACTGTCAGTGCCCACCCCCCGCCATACCCAACTGCACTTTCAGCTGGTGACTTTCCTTCGGGTCTCACTGAGCTACCGGAGTCACCTGCCCACCACATCCAGGCCACAGACGCAGCAAACCACTGGGGACTGTCCTCTGGGTTCTGAGGCCAACCCCCTGGGGCACTGCTCCTCTTTCCCTACCTCACCTGGTCACCCTCCCGCCTCCGTTGCCACCAGCACCAGGACACCCAGAGCCCTGCCCGGTAACCAGGACCCCCTGAGGCCCCAATATCGTCACTGTCCCCTCTGTCCCTCACGTGGGAACTCCACCCAGGACTGGCTGTGCTCCCCGTCTCCGCACCCTCTCTCCTCTCCACTCACCCTACGCAGGACTCCTTCCTTACGGCGACACTGAGGCAGGTCTCATCAGGGTCCCGGGCACTTCTCGTTCCTAATGCCAAGGAGAGAGAAGGGGTCCCTGATCTTGGCCTCGCCCTGAGACCTCAGTGCTCTAGACCTGCCTTGGACCTTTCTTCATCATCTCAGCCCCGTGCTGCTCTGCTTAAGACCCCATTCGCCCTTGCTTCCCGTGCGAATGCTCTGAGTTGCTGGCTCATTCCATTCTCTGCCCTCTCTCCCCCACCCTCGGCACAGAACGCTGCTGAAAGGTACCCCAGGTTTTCCGGTGGCTGTGGGTAGCCCCCTGCCCACCCCTGTCCCAACCTGCCCTTCCCACTTGCATCTGAGATGCAGAACCCAGGCTGGACATCACAGCGTCAGTCTAGGGTTCTGAGGTGACCGTGGTGGCATTTCCGGCACCAGTTGTCAGGCCAGGGCAACATTTGGGGCCAAGGGGTCTTCCTTGGCCCAGTCAAAAGCCAATCACGGGGACAGCTGCTTGTCATTCTTATTCAACTCAGGCAGCACTGGCTGTGTGCAGAGCCCTGTTTCGGGCAGAGTTTGATGGGAAACAAGTCACATGAACTAGTGTCAATCGCTGGGTTCCACGGCAGAACATCCTGGGTGCTCGGACACCTCGGTACTCAAAGTGTGGCCCAGGGACCAGCAACCTGGGCCTCACCTTGGAGCTTGGAGGAGATGCAGAGTCAGGCCTGCTGAGTGCGGTCTGAGTTCTGGCAAGAGCCCCAGGCACCCGGGACTTGGAAAGCACTATGCTAACCCGGCCTCCACTGGTCCCAGGCTCCGAGGGTGTGAGCCCGCGTCGTGCTGAGCACAGGAAGCAGCAGAGAGCTTGACCCAGAGTACACCCTGCACGGCTCAGTCTCTCAGGAAGTGACAGAAGCCTGTGTTGGCTGTGAGAACCCAGAGTGGGGGACAAGCTTATATAGAGGGCAGGGAACAGGGACAGAGGGGCCAGTCTGGGCCAAAGGCCACACGGGGAGACATGGTGCATCAATTTGCTTGGACTGACAGGACACAGCGCCACATGGACTTGGTGACTTAGCAGATATTTCTTTCCTCACTGACCTGGAGGCGGTGTCCTCATTGGCCTCATGACCCCCACAGGAAGAGTGAGGCACCCAGCCCAGATCCCGGGGGGGACACAGCCTGCCCAGGCCCCAAGGCTGACAGCCTGGCTGCAGGAGGGAACAGAGGCGCTGCTCACAGCACAGCGGCCTCCCGGGGATCCCAGGTCTCTCAGGAACTGTCTCACTTGATCCTCAAAATCACCTCAGCAGCCCGGTGTTTCATTTGTCTCATGGAACAGATGGAACCGAGGCTGAGCGATGCAGGATCTTGCCCCAGGACACGCAGAGTCTGTGCTGGGCCAGGACCGGAGCCCCTGTCCCTCAGGCTTTGCCTCCCAGGGTCCCCTGTACGCAGGATGGTCCCAGGGGCGTGAGCCACCCCCTCTGTGGAGAGGGGTTCAGAGAAGGCAGCTCTCAGGAAGTGACTTTTAGGCTGGGTCTTTGATGGTGAGGGGTCCACAGCTCACAGAAGGAGGAGAGGAAGGGCATTCCAGGCAGGGGACCGGCATGGAGGCCACAGAGGGGGTCCCACAGGCAAGGGCTCTGCTCAAGGGTGTCCTCTGTCCTCCAGGCAGCCGAGACAGGAAGGGGCGGCCCCTGCTTCTGGTGTCCACCGCAGAGGCAGCCTGGGAGGCACCGTGGTGCTCGGCCTCCGAGGTCACCAAGCTGCTCTCGTACCTGTGCGGCGTCCCCAGGTAAGGGCCGGGCCGCCTGACCACTCCACCTCCACCCTCTCAACCCCGCCACGGGAGACTCCCAAGGTGGAGGGGGGGAGGGACGGACAGGTGACTTTCCAGAACAAGGTGTAGAAAACAGGGACGTTGATGGTCCCTGGGTTTGAACTGGAGAACCACTCGCCTCAGACTCCCCTGATGGACTGTGGAAACAGAAGGGCCCCACCTCCCTTTCCAATTCGGTAGGTCTGGGTGGGGGGCCTAGGGAGCTGCATTCCTGATGGGTTACCTGGTCACAGCTGCTGCTGGGCCAGGGACCACACTTTGAGAACCACTGTTATAGTGTGGGGGGAGGGGCGCGGAGAGCTACTTTCAATTAGCAAATCAGAAAAGGCTTCCCTGAGGAGGTGGTCCTTGAATGGCATCGGAAAGATCAATATCTGATGAAAATGTGAAGGGGTGGGCGAGGGAGGGAGGGAGAGAATTAAAGCATGGATGTGAGTGAGCTGGGGGCCCAGGCTGGTCTCCAACCCCCTTCCTCTCGCCGCTACCCCCCCCACCCCCCTGTCCTCAGACTCCACGTCCCCCTGGCTGGGAAGAGCCATGTCCTTCCCTCGGAGACCAGCCCCCGGCCAGGGCAGCCTTAGAGTGGAGCCTTGGGACTGTGCACACCCCCCCACCCCACCTGGAGGTTCACTGCGGGGTGGGGGGTAGGGTGAGGGACCCAGGGCACCCTTGGGGACCTTCTTTCTTGCAGGGAGTCGTTACTGCCACCTGATGGCCACTGAGGGTTTTCTTCCTCTCGCCCCAGGTGGGAGGCTTTCCTAAAGGAGGGGCTGGGACCCAGCTGAGAAGTGGCCAGTGTGGTGGCCTGGTGTCCCACTGATGTGCTGTGTGACCTTGGGGAAGTGCCTTCTCCTCTCTGAGGCTCTCCTGACAGAAGGAGATGGCCAGTGGGTTCTGAGGACCCGGGGGGTCCCAGTGTCAGGGGAAGGAATTGGTCCCTTGTGCAGCTGGCCTTTCCATTTGGGCTCTGAGCAAACATTGGTGGGACACCTGCTCAGGGCCCGGCTTTATGCTGGATGGTGCCAGGGACCTGAGGGGCCTCCAGGCTCGGGCAGGGACAGGTCTGGAAACGAGTCACTGTTCCAGCAGGGGCCTAGCCAGAGATGGGCAAGGTGTGGGACAGAAGGTCAGGGACCTGGTGTCACCTCCCAGAGACTCTCCTCGCTGTCCAGGGCTTTGCCTCCTGTGCCTCGGTTTGCCCTTTTAGGACAGTAACAATGGCAAAGTTTTGTAAAAAAATAAAAATAAAAAATCACTTCTCTCCTGTGGTGCATAGTCGCTGGGTGCATGACACCAATGACCTCCTCTGTCCCCACGAGGCCCCCTCAAGCTGGTACCGTTATTATTCAGTTGACTCAGAGAGGTACAAGAACCCACCCAGGTGACCAGATGCTAAAGGCAGTGCCCCAGCTCGGCACCCACCCGGGGCCGCCTCTGGTTTCGTCCGTGGGTTGGAGGATTGGAGGAGTTGAGGCAGCTGGGGCGATGACCACCTTCCTGATCGTCCGAGTGACCAGGGCACTCGCAGTCACCCAGACCCACCCTGGGCCTGCTGCCAACTGTCTCGGGGGACCGGGGAGGAGGTGGGAGGAGGAATCCTTATTTTAACCAATGCGGACACTCGGGCCGGTCCGGGAAGTCCTGGTGTGAACGACGGAGCGTGGCCCCCGTCAGCTCAGCCGGGGGGTGTTGGCCAGGAGGAACCGATTCCAATTGAAAACGTCTGGTCTGCTGAGCCAAGGTATCAGTCTGAGCCCCCGCCTCACCGCTCTTTGAAGGAAGTGTTCAAAGGAGACAAGGTCTTTCTCCAGAGGCCCCGGGGAATTGGCCCTCTCACCTCACTGGGCAGAGATAGGTCACATGGTCTCCATCTAGACCCGTCATTGCCCAGAGAGATCGGGTCACTCGTTGGCCTCCACCAATCAGAAGCCAACCCCTGGGGGAGTGGGATTCTTGAATTAAATGATGGCTTTGCCCATAGAAAAGGTCACCCTTACAGGTGACCCACTCCAACTTTATAAGTGGCTGTTTTTAGGACTATTGGGCCTTGGGAGAAGATGCATGGGGCAGTGCGGGGACCTGTGGGGAGGCACTGGCTCTCCTGGAAGAGAATGGGGGGGGTCTTCCAGCAGGGAGACATGGGGCTTAGCCCTGCAGGGGAGGCCATTCACCGCCGAGTCAAGACTCCCAGCAGCCAGTTTCTGTGGCCTTGCATTTGGTCTGGCCACCTGGAGAGCCCCCAGGGCTGCCCGGCGAGACGTCCTCCTGTTTTCCAACCACAGGCCCGAAGACAAAGCCAAGGGGCTGGTGGTCGTGGTGGATGCCAGGAATCAGCCCCCACAGCCTGATCTGGTCAGCGCCCTTCAGGCCACCCAGGTGAATACAGACAGAGCGCCCCGGCCCTGCCAGCCTTGGGGTCCCCTGGGGCCTCTGACATGCTTGGAGCAGGCAGCAGGCTCCGGGTTGGAAGCAGGGACTGCTCACAGCCCAGGGCCAATGAGCTTTAAGTCAAAAGGACTTCACGGTTCATGTAGCTGGACAATCCAGGAGCCCCACCCAGCTCGGGAGGTCTCCATACAAGGGCTCCGACACTGTCACCAGACCGTCCCTTCTCTCCATCTCTGGCCCTGTCCTCCTGGGAGGCTGCCATCTCTGACAACCCCCCTCGGGCAGCCGTATGGTCCCCGCAGCTCTAAGTTCCCAGGGTCTCTCACTTACATCCAGCAGAAAAGAGGGAGAGAATGTTTCCCCAGAGTCCAGCAAGTTTCTTGTGTCTCTCTGGTTCAGAAGTCCAGCCATTAAAGGATCCCAGGGCCAGGGAAGGGCACCGCTGCGATTGCCTTAGCCGCGGGTACCAAAACCTCATCCCAGAGCAGGGAGGAGGGAGGAGAGTCCCGGGTGACCCCAGGCAGCAGGGGCGGTGAGGTCTGCCACATGCTCAGGTCTGAGCCCCCTTTAGAGACGGGCAGACTGAGGCGGGTGGGGCAGGGCGTCCAGGAAGGCCTGCAGCCCAGCCTGGGCCTGCTGCTCTCGGCACTGTCCCTCCAGGCAGCACACAGTCACTCCCACCCTGGCCACTGTGGGACGCATTTGCCTGCGTCTTTCCAGGGTAGGAGAGGCCAGAGGGACGGGAGGCTGAGGGGAGGCTCGGGCAGAGCAGCCCTGAAGCCGCTCTCATTGGCAGGCTCTGGCCCCGGCCCCGCTCTGCAGCCTGCTCTTCCTGGGGGAGAAGGAGGATGCCCTCCAGCTGCAGGCCGTACCTAACGTCCAGGTGAGCAGGAAGCCGCTCGGGCAGTGCAGGAGTGGGTTGTTGGGCTGGAGCTGAGTGGGGGTAGAGAAGATGGAGAATTGCAGAGTGGACAGATCAGGCCTTGAAATAATCTAGTGTAGGGGAAGAAGGGCCAGGCCTGGGGCTGCCCCTCTCCAGGCTGCCTCTGTGGCAGACATCACCAAACCATCACTGGATCATTCCCTCTGGCTCCCAGCAGCTCCTGGTGGACCCTGCCACGTGACGGGGAGTCGCACAGGACACGGAACCTACTTGAGTTTCGCCTAGTCAGGCCATCCCCTGTCTTTGCAGATGGGGAGATCAGGCAGACGGCCACCCAGCAAACCAGACAGAGCAGCAAGTCCTGGCCCGAGGCCCAGGGCCTCATCCACGCTGTCCTGGCTCTGACTGCGGGTTTTTGGGGTTTTGAGTTGTTTTTTTTTTTTTTTTTTTTGGTACTGGGTTAAGTACCAGGGGCACTTAATCACTGAGTCACATCCCCAGCCCTTTTAAATATTTTAGTTAGAAATAGGGTCTCACTGAGTTGCTTAGTGCCTCACTAAGTGGCTGAAGCTGGCTTTGAACTCTCGATCCTCCTGCCTCAGCCTCCCGAGCCCCTGGGATTACGGGCGTGCACCACTGTGCCTGGCTCTGCCCTAATTAATGCCCTAATTAATGCAGCTGGAGTTGATTGGGAACGTGGCAGAGAGCCCTGAGCTCCCTCTAATTAGCGCTGTGCCCAGCCTCTGCCCCACTTCAGAAACGGTGCAAAAGGCCCCTGCTTCCTGAGCAGGAGAGGCACAGTGTGAGCTGGAGGCTGTGCTCCTCAGCCCTGGATGGGCCTGGATTGTGGAGGCTGGTTCCTCAGCAACAGCTCCTACGCTCAGGAGCCGCCTACCCGGAGGGAAGTGGCCTGGTGTCAGGTCAGGGACCCCGGCAGGACAAGTCTCTTAGGGATCTCGTCAGAACCTAGGCTCTGCCTGGGGTCCTGCGTCTCTAGTGTGCTCCAAGGTGCTGCTGACCCACAGCCCCCTTTGATGATCCGGGATGGAAGATGGGCCCCCAACCCTGCAGACTCCACCCCACCCCAAGCCTGGGTATCTAGAGCTATCCCCAGGAAAAGCCTGAAACTTCAGTGTCTGGGAGGAGCAGTCACCTTGTCCCTTCTCCAGATCTTTGGGGACACTGTTAGGCTTTTGTGGCCTTTCGCATCAGGCTGGGCGGGTCACTAGAGAACAATGCAAGGATTCTAGGGAAGGCTTATCACAGGACCAGCTGCAATCAGTTTGTGGGATTGCCCCAAAAAGCTGGGAGAGAGCCAAGCTCGGGTGGAACAAATGCTGCGATTGATTAGTGATGTCTGCCTCGGGCACAGGCCGGCGACCAGCGGTCCCAGAGCTGTGGAGCTGCTGTCTTAACCTGGGTCTGGTTCTGGATGGTGATTGATCAGAGCTTCCAGAGAGATCGGGTGCCCAGAGAGCAACTCTGCATTTTCCCTCTGGAAGACGAACTGGAGCCGGGGCAGGGATCTAGGCGGGACCTTTTCAAAGTCTGTTCCCACAGTGAACCTTCTGGTCCTCCTGACTCACTTCTTCTGTCTGCAGATGGAGGTGCTGACCTCACTGAAGGCCCTCAGCCACCACGTGGACCCCAGTCAGCTGCCAGCCGCCCTGGAAGGCCCCTTCCCCTACTGTCACAGCGAGTGGGTGCAATTCTTCCAGGTGTCTACCATTACAGCCTTTAGCCCTGTCCCTCCTTCTCTTCTCTCCTTCACAATCCTGCCCCACGGAGCCACCAACCCTGTCAGTTCAAACGGATGTTTACCTTGAAGATGGAGAGTGGAATGAGTAAGGGCTCAGCAGGGCCAGCTTGCCTGAGTTCCGATTCAGCTCTGGCTGTGTGACTTTGGGTAGGTTACTTACCTTCTCTGAGCTTTGGTTTCCATCAGCAAAAAAATGCAAGGGGAAACAATAGTACCTCTTCATGGGGTTTTTGTGTGAACTGGATTAATGTGAGTAAAGGGCTTAGGCGAGTGTCTGCCACGTGCTGAGAGCTAGGTGTTAGCTCAAAGCAAATGACAGGTGTCTGTTCTGCAGACCTACACAGGTCTGTTGGGAGGTGGGCGGAGGAGCTCCCTCCTGTATGAGGAAGGAAATAAGGGATCGGCCAGTGCTCAGCTCCTCCTGCAAGCCACGATCCCTCCCAGCTCACCCCTGCGAGGGGGCCTTTTATGCCCAATTTAACCCATGGGGAGGGGCTCCCCAGGTCAGCCCCGATCCTCCCTCAGAACATGGGGAAGCCAGTGCCCACAAACCCTCCCTCCCTCCCAGCCAGCGCTCCACCTCAGCCTGTTCCCACCGAGCCACCGTTCCCCTCTGTTGGGAGCTGCCCTGTGCCCTCTGGTGTGTTTAGTGGCCCTAAGGTGTGTGTGGCCTCTCCCTACAATTAATGGCACTCAAAAGCGTCCCCAGACATTGCCGAGTCTCCCGGGGTCAGCCGCCCTCTCTCCCATCGGTTTCTGTTTGCTCAGGAGCAGCCTCTTCTTCAAAATCACGTCTGGTTTGGAGGGGGCAGGGGGTGGCCCCGCACACCCTGGAGTCCCCATCGCGGCCTCGGCCAGCTGCGGGATGAACATACTCGGGGAAAGCATTGTCCCTGCAGTGGGACACGCACGGGCTGTTTCCTTGTCCTTACGCCCTAAACCGCGCTGAGAAACAGCTGTTTGCAGAGGGCTCCCGCGTGGCAGATTCCTAGGTGACGTCGGGTGATTTAAGCACACACACAACCATGTGCACACCACCTTCCATAAGGACTCCCACCTGTGGAGCCTGCTGTCCACGGGCCCTGGACTCACCCCACAGATCCCCAACGGTGACTACATTCCGATTTCAGGTGATCTGTGCCGAGGAATCTCCTTCCCTACTCATCCCCAGGTTCCCAGTTCCCTTTGGAATGCATGCTTCAGCAGTCAGACCTTTCCTTTAAATGCACTCTGAACTCTGACCCGGAGACCCAGAACACAACATCGATGACCATGTCCCGTAGGCTCCATTCTAAGTGGCTTCCCAAGTGAGTCCATCCAATCCTCACTCAACCCCACAAAGCAGGAACTCCTGTGGCCCTCATTTCAACAGAGGAAGAGAAGGCCCAGAGAGGTTAAGTAACTTGCCCAAGGTCTCACAGCGAGGAGTGGCAGAGCTGGGCTGAAGTGGGACCGAGCCAAGGATGTCCCCCTGTTCCCGCCTCCCCCTCCCCACAAGGTGCCCCCTCCCCACTCTGGGAGCACCTCTTTCTTTCTCTTCTTTCTCCTCCCTCTCTCATTCTCAACACCAGGGGTTCCCAAAGTGTCCCCCAGCTCCCAGGCCAGCAGCGGTAGCATGGCCCGGGGCCTGTCTACCAGGCACTCTCCTGCTCTGCCCGAGGGGACCTCAGCAGGAAGCTCAGCGCGGGTCCTGGAGGTCCATTTCACCATCCTTCCAGATGATTCTGAGGCATCTGAAGCTCAGGAACTGCTGCCCGATGCCCCCGGGTCCTCCTGGGAGGCGGGGGGCGTCCTCCCGCCTGGCCCAGGCTGACAGCCGCCCTGGCCTCTGTCCTGCAGAAGATGGACCCCTTCCTTGCTGACCTGCGCCAGGCCTCGGCTCTGCTGCGGGCTTCCATCGAGGCGTTGGAGAAGGGGGACCCCCCTGGCGGGGTGCAGGTGAGCCTGGAGCGGAGCCACAGCACCCCCAGAGTCACGGGCCCCGGGCTCAGTGAAGGGGACAGCGGGAGGGCGTCATGGTCCCTGTCTTGTTCGTTCACTCGATGAGTGTTTGCTGCGCTCCCGGGATGTGTCCCACACTGGGGCCTCGGCCTGGGGCCAGCAGACTCCCCTCTGCCCTGGCGGGGCTCATGCTGCGGGCAGAGGTGGTCATTCCAAATACAAACAAAGCAAGAGACCAGCAGTTGCCAATTGTGCCAAACTACCATGAAGACCCAGAGCGGACGGGGGAGGGAGGGCCCCTCTGAGAGGTGCATTTGAGTTGAGGCCTGAAATTCAAGGAGTCTGCTTCGGAGGGAGACCTGGCTCCAGACAGAGAACCAACGTGTGCCGAGTCCCTGGGGCAGGGTGCTGTTTGGGGCGGGCAGGAAGCTGGAGTCACTGTGGAGGGAAGGAGAAGAGAAGCTCTGGAGGGTCCTGTAGGTCCGGCGGAGGGCTGGGCCCACACACGGGGCGGAGACTCCATCCTGAGCAGGGGATGCCCATCTGCACTTTCCCATCCCTGTAGCTGCCCAGGGGAACTAGCCGCAGGGGTCCAGCAGAGGCTGGAATGGGTGGGAGCCTGGAGGATGATGGGAGCCCGTCGCCGTGGTGATGAGAGGGGGGTGGCTTGAGGGGCTGAGACTTTGTGGAGGAGCCCAGATGCCACTCTAGGGAAGTGGGGCTTGATCTGGGGTCGGGGGCTGTGGAGGGAGAGTGGGGACGGAGCCTCAGGACACCTCCCTCTGCTGGCAGGACGCTGCCAGGTGCCTGAGCAAGTCCCAGGAGCTGATGGAGGCGGTGCTGAAGGACCCGGGCCTGCTGGGCCTGCAGCGCGAAGGTGGAGCCACCCTGGCCGGGCTGCAGCGCGAGGCCAGCAGACTGGACCCCAACCCTGACGTCAGGTACAGACGCCCGGGCCCTCCCCCTCCTCGAGCCTGGGACTCGGCCCCATGGAGGCCCAGCATCAGGGCTCTGTCTTGGCCAGAGGCCTGGTCACAGGCCCCCTTTCCTCCGTGGCCCTCAGGGGACCTCGCCTCCCTGTTTCTGCTCACCCCCATGGACCAAGCCCTTTTCTGGCCCAGACATTGGGCCGAGCCCCTCCAAAGCCCATCTCATTTATTCCTGGTAAGACCCCTGTGAGGCCCAGGGCAGCCTCATCTGGGGACAGTGACCGAGGCTCAGCCAAGTGAATTAGCAGCCAGCGATGGCCCCCTGGGGACCCAAAGCCAGGACCGGCCCTGTCCTCCCAGCCAGCTGCCCAGCACGGCCCAAGAATCTCATGGCCATCAGGGGTCTCAGAGCCTTGGGATAAACGACAGACACCCCAGGAAAGCACCAGCTTTCTTCAGTTCACAGAGTGGGGAAAAGTCCGTCCAGGTTAGACGGGGCCTCCCGAATCCCAACATCAGAAATGAATCCAAGATGCTCCAAAATCTGAAGCCTTTTGAGCACAAGTGGAAAATTCCACATTACAAAACTTTGTCTCATGGGCAAAACTATTTAAAATGTTTTATAAAATTGCCTTCCGGCTGCATGGAAGGTGTGAATTTCATGTTTAGACCCGGTCCCCTCCTCCAGGGTAGCTCAAAATGTCTAGGCGAACGTTATAGAAAGTTTCAAAAGAATCTGAAACACTTTTGTCCCAGGAGAAGGGACATTCAAACTGTGATTACATTGCTCAGTAATCGGAAGGTTTTTCTCTATTAGGACACAACTACTTATATGCCGAAGTCAAGTGAAAAGTTGGCATAAGCTTTTAGGAACAATTTGTTTATTGAACCAGCTCCTTGGTGGCATTAAGTCCGTGTTCAGCGTTGGTTCCAGGGATGACGAACATGAACTCATTTAATTCCCACTGCTGAGGTAGAGCCCAGTAACATCCTTGTGACAGCCGAGGAGCCTGAGGCACAGAGAGGTTAAGTAACTAACCCAAGGTCAGACAGCTGGGCGGTGGTGGGGCCAGGACTTGAACACAGCCTGGTCTCAGAATTTCATGGCACTGAGTGGCTTCCATGGACTCAGGGCCTGTTTAGGCAGATGAGAGTGCTGGCGCCAGGTGTAGGGACATCTCCCTGCCTCTCGCAAGGCCCAGTGGGGCTGGCGCCGTCTTTCCCAGCATGCTCCTGCCGCACCTATGCAGCTGGGCTCTCCTGTCCACCTTCGGTCTCTGCAGACCCCTGGCTGCGGGCAGCCCCACCAGGGGGCGCTGTGGCCCTGCGCGAAGCGCTGCAGCCCCGCCTCCTCCCTCCTGCGGCTCCGGGTTGGCGTTTACAGTCCCCTAAGCTCCCTCACCCCTGGGCCTGCAAGGTGGCCACCTGGGGGCTGCAGTCAGGTGTGGGGCCCCGCAAAGCAGAGCTTCCTCCTGCAAAGCAGGCTCCCTACTGTCTTCCTCCTTCCTCCTAAAGAGGGACTGATGCTCCAGGGCAGAGGAGAGCGGCTGGGATTGGAGATTGCTCCTGCACCCAGGGTCGCCCTGCCCGGAACCCCATCCCGGCCTCCTTTCAGGTCTTCCGCCATGTTTTAAAAGCCCTTGCAGAAGCAGCCCTGGCCTGTTTTCAGTTCAGGTGACGTGAGAGTCCCTGCCCTCTCTGGACCCCTGGGTTCCCCTCTGTGAAGGTGGGTTCTGTTACTATTCCCACTTTACAGATGGGGAAACAGAGGCACGGAAGGTGGAGAAGTCTGCACAAGGTCCCATCATAAGGCTGGGATTCGAACCCAGGTCTGTTCAGCTGGCTTCCTCCGGAAGAAGGAGGGCCTTTTCACTTCCTGCTGTGTCCCCTGGTCCTCCTGATCCCACTGAAGCTCTGGAGGTTCCAAGGCTGAGGCCCAAAGAGACGCAGGGACCTGCCCGTGGCCACACGGTGGGCCAGCAGCTGGGAGCCCAGGGAAGGCCACAGAGCTGGGGCCAGGCCTGCGCTGGGCAGGAGCACAGGATGGGGTGGGAGGGCACGTGGGCTTCTCTTACCCTCCTCTGCCTCCCAGGAGCCACCTGGCGGAGGCTGCTGCCCTGTACGGCCTTGTGGATGAGCAGCTTCACGTCCTGGTCACCGCCTCCAACCACCTCCTGGGGAGGCTGGAGCTCCGCGTCCGCCTGGGCCACCTGGAAGCCGCCATCCTCCAGGTGAAAAGGGAGGCTGGCCGGGAGGTGGGGCTCCGCCAGGCTGCCCTCTGCAGGACGGCACCAGCCAGACGCTTAGAGCTGAAGCAAGGACACTGGACTGGTGTCCCTTGGGCCAGGTACATGACATGGCAATTAATAAGTTCTTAATGGGTAAAGACGTAACGGCAAGAGCTGCACTTATGGAGCACCAACTGTGTGCCAAGAGCCTCTGTGTACCTCATGGCTTCCTAACTTCATCTCTTGCCCGTGATGAGGAAGTCAAACCTACGTCCTTGCCCCAGGTCAGCTAGGGCCTCCCCACTGCACAGGCGAGGACCCCGAGGCTGGGGGTGCGCCACCCGCCACGTCGCACACGGGTCTGACTCGGGAACCTGCACAGCACACTTGGTCGCACCCTTCCTGCCCAGGGCTGTGCCCACTGCCCTGGGGACAGCCTGGCTCTGATGCCTGCGGATGACCTCACTATTTGGGGCCTCTGTGTCCTCGCCTCTTAATTGGGGATGATATTAGTGCCTGGCTTCAGGGGCTGAGCGAGTCAGTATGTGCTCTTAAGACACCCCAGAGTCAGAGAGGAGCTTGCACCCACGGGGTCTAGAGTCCCCCTGCACCCTTGGCCCCTCACTGAATCTCTAAGTCCATCCCTGTTCCCATTGATCAGCTGAGGCCAGAAGCGGGCAGTGACGAGCTCCGTTTGCACAGGGAGTTCATGGCCGCCCGTGGGCCCTCCCCTGCCCCGGCGGCTGCTTCTCCCGCGTTTTTCTGGCCGCCAGGGACGAGGAGCTCATCACCCCTGAGGCCGTCCCTTTTACGGCTGGGCAGCATGAGTGGTCAGACGAAGCCGAGACTCGCCACCCCGTGACGTCATCCCCACCCCGTGTGCACTGAGGGCCTACTACGTGCAGGGCGCTGGCCAGGCCAGTTCCCCACCAGGGCCCTGCCTGGGGGTCCCGTCCCCTTCAGATGTTTGAAGAACATGGCCTCACGCCCAGCCTCCCCCAGGCTCCTGCCTGGAATCAGGAGGGCTGAGACCAGGCTGGTGACAGTGCAGGAGGACCTTGGCCTCCCAGGGAGCCAGGCAGCCGGCAGAGGGATGTCTCCCTAGCAGCCCCTCAAGTCCACACCTGTGTCCTTGCCCCAGGTCAGCAACTGGATGGAGCAGGAAGGCAGCCAGTGCCTGCAAGCGCTTGCCCCCAAGGACGGAGGCCTGGAGACGGTGGAGAGGGCCCACGCGGAGTTTGAGGACTTCTTCCTTCAGGCTGCAGTGCGTTGGGAGAACCCGGAGCAGGACGGGCGTGGACGGATAGGGCCTAGAGGGGGTGGCCCTGGTGGGGCCAAGAGGTGGAGGCAGGGCAGTGCAAGGAAACTCACAGAGGTGACATCCAAGCCCCCAAAGGGTCAGCTTGGACGCCACCTCCTCCGGGAGGCCCTCCCAGACCACCACACCCAAAGAATACTTAGAATCCCAGGGCGTCTTAAGATGCCGATTCCGGGGTCTTGCCCTGACGTGCCGCCGGCCTCAGAGAGCAGGGCCAACAAGCTGTGCCGTTGACAAGCTGAGCCCGGGGCCTGTCCCAGCAGGGAGCTCTCAATCCCGTGGAGGACGGATGGGGCTGGGAGACAGGCAGGGGAGCCAACAGGGAGAACTGGGGGCGCTGAGGGGGCACTTCTGACCCCGGTGTGAGGTCAGAGAACTTTCCAGGAGGAAGTGAACTGAACTGCCAAAGCTAAGACCTGGGGCTGTCCAGCGTCCTCCCTGCTCCTTCTGTCCCTACCAGGAGCCAGGCCCTGCGGGGTGGGTGCCGTCGCCCCCCACCGATGGGAAACCGAGGCTCAGCAGCCTCAGGCTCAGCTGTGGGCAGCAGAAGGCCCTTGGCTTCTGGGGAGGCCCCCACGTGGGGACCCAGGGGACATCCCGTCTCCCTGCCCAGGCGCAGTACCGCCGAGGCCTGGAGCTGTCCAAGCAGGCGGCCCAGCTGGGAGTGGCGGCCGGAGCGGCTGGTGAGGCCGGAGGGACAGAGTCCCCAGAGCTGGTGGCCTTCGCCCGCACCCAGCGGGCCTTCCAGGCAAAGCTGACCCACTTCTACATGGCGGCCGAGAGGCAGCGCACGGACCTCGAGACCTTGCTCCACCTGCACCGCTTCTGCAAGAAGGTGAGCCGTGGCCCCCGCGCAGGCCCGCGTCCCCCGTCCTCGGGTCTGGGCGAGTGGTGGGGACAGGGTGGCTTAGGCTTGGCAATAGGCTCTGGGCATGATTCCCTCCCATCGTCCCGGGAAGGGGACAGAGCCCCGGGCAGAGGAGGAGCTGGGATTTGGCCAGCTGCTGACACACCCCGTGTCCTCCTCCAAGAAGAGGAGACAGACGGTGGCACCGGAGTCCCTGACACAGGCGATGGCGGAGGGGTGACGAGACCCTCCTGTGAGCGCCTCCCACACCTCCCTTAGTCCCCACCCCAGCTGGGGTGCCAGCGCTGTACCCATCTTACAGACAGGAACACCGAGGCCCAGAGAGGGACGTGACCTGCCCAAGGCCACCCGGAGTCCCGGTGTCAAGCAGGTTTGACTTGAGGACCCTCCTAACTCCACGTAGCCAAACCTCTCAGGTTTCTGAGCAGGAGACCAAGGCCTACGGGCAGCAGGCAGCAGCCTGGGAGAGCTAGGACAGGGACCCACAAGGCTGGCCCCTGGTCAGCAGACTTGTCATAGGGACAGTGTGGGAAGAGCCTGACCCCTCCGCCTCGCAGTCAGGCTGACCCGGCCAGCACACAGGGTGCCTCAGGGCAGCGTGAGCTCATGCCGGGAGGACAGGCCCCCCTCTGTCTCCTTGGGGCAGCAGAGGACAAGGGGCAGTCCCCTCCCTCGCTGCCCAGGGGCTAGAGAGGCAGAATCTGGGACTCAAAATCAGGGACACATGTGTTCCTTGTCACCACAATGACAGTCTGGCTGCCCTGAGTCTCAGTGCCCTGATGATGATGATGATGGTGATGGTGGTGGTGATGATGGTGATGATGATGGTGGTGGTGATGATGGTGATGGTGATGATGATGGTGATGATGGTGGTGGTGATGATGGTGGTGATGATGATGGTGATGATGATGGTGGTGATGATGGTGGTGGTGAT